TTTGAATTCTGAGAGCCTGGGTATGATTCTAATGTAAAATTTGAAAAATTTGACAATACGTAATTTTAAGGATACCATACAATATTTGACCTTGAATGACCTTACATGACCCATTTGTGGCAATCTGACCAGGTAAAAAATGATATGATGGTATTCCTCGATCATATAAACATACTCTTAGACATTAGACTTATAATTCCAAGTGGTTTAGAAGCGGAGATATAGATAAACATAGGTTTTATTAGGCGGCCATTTTGAAATCCAAGATGGTCGCCATAATGACCTCGGATGAGGTGGTTCCCACCAAAAATTGAATGCTATGACCGTAAGGAGCATGTAAAAAAAAATTGGTGCTTTTGTCCGGAACGTCCACATTAAGTCCAAATATGGCCCTAAGCTGCCGTACTATTTGTATAGGTAATAATAATAATAATAATAATAATAATAATAATAATAATAATAATAATAATAATAATAATAATAATAACGGCATTACATGTAATTAACTTGGTCTAGCCTTGTAATCAAGAACCTGCCGATTACTATATGCCTAATATTAATAACTAGTTCATTTTTACATACATTTGGTGCTCTGCCGTTTTGGCAGGTCTCATGGCATCCAGTATTTTAGAGCTGTCTATTCTCAGTTCTTCTCTTAATTTGAAAATAACTGTCACCCTGTTTCATTTGATGAAGAAAAACGCGCTTTTCCTTGACTCTTTTTACTTTTCCCAGAAAGCGTTTAGTAATAGGCCTAGGCAATTATGCAAAACCCATGCCTAACTAAAAAATTAAAATTGTCATAGTATGTAACTTAAGTTAAAATAACACTTTTCATAACTCGTGCAGCTTAATCAAATATTATATGTCATTTTAAACGACCCAATCATTGTATTAAATTTTAAAAATTCGACAGCGACGTTCTCTCAGAAGTTGTTTTGCAGACGTTTATCTGTTGATGACCTTTTGACCTCCTGAATTCTGCAATGAGATTTTCGGGTCGATTCAGCCGAGACGGCCCGAGTGGAGTTTCATGTAAATGTTTCGTACGGGAAAAAAAATCGCTAACGGGTAGCCAAAGATCAACGATCTTATAAACACAAGATAGCGTTTTCCTCGATATCCTCCGCGTGCAAAATCTGTAATAACGCAGTGTACGGCGTCCTCTTGCAAAAATGAAAACTTTTGAACTTTGACCATGGCGTACACCGCGCGAATTTACCTTTACGCGTAACAATTAGAAGCGTCGATTTACAATTAAGGAAGAATAACGTACTTGGTAACGAACTTTGGCTTAACGCGAACACCTTATCTCGGAACCTATGGTAACGTACTAGGACGCCCTCTCCCAAAAGTGATTACTTTTCTCTAGGATATTTTTTCTGGGGGTCTGAGCCATCCGACAAAGGGACTTGAGCTCGTAGGCCTGAGCTGGGAGAAGGGTTTGAGAGGGGGTTCTCCCTCACAAATAAAATTGTTTAAGAGTAGGAACCTCAGGGTGGCCAGAAATGACACTCTCAGACTGTGACAGACATGTGTTGGCTTGGCGTGGGCCTATTTATACATATTTTTAGTCCGACTGCCCGGCGAGCTCTGTTTGGGGGGGGGGCTTGACCTGTCCGGTGGGGGACTTAACCCCTGCTGCTCTCCCTGCTGGCGGCGCCAGCAGGGGGATGACAGCAGGCAGCAGTCCCCTTCTCAATCAGAAGAGGACTAGGCCATCGTCTGACAACAGATTTTGCATAGCCCTTGCTTAACGTAAACGAGACCTACGGGACCGGGTGGCTGGACCTAAACCTACGATTGTCCACACTTGTTGGGCCCGATCGTCTGGAAATTGACCCGATCGTCTGTCACCCGGCAGCAGCACAAAACTAAGCCTTAGCCTGCTCGCAAACGTCACATTGGTCACACGGTGTGTGTAATATTTTCTGGTAGAGCTGGGTATGATTATGCATGACGTCACATTACAAACCACGCCTCGCTCGGCTAAAGTGGTTGTATTTAGCAACTACCGAACAGCCACCAGTCCAAAACAAACAAAAACCCTTATTTTATTTTTATTTTTTTTCTTTTGCATTTTTTTTTCAAAGATTAAGCTACAAAACGAAAGAAAGCCGTGTACCGGCCACAGATAAACATTGGTACCGGTCACAGATAAACTCCCAGCGATTTGCCGAAAATGGTATAAAGTGCTTTCACAAGCGATTCATTGCAATTTAAACTATTGAATGTTATGGCGAATTAAAGTATAGTGTGACGATTTACCAACCACGATGTAGATGATAAACCAATTTAATATATTAGATGCCTGTACACTCTTTTTTATAGTCATGTGTGTTCTCGGAAACAAATGTGATCTGAAAGATGCTCGAAAAGTCCCAAAACATGAAGCACTAAATTATGCTGCGTCTATAGGGGCGCTGTTCTTTGAAACATCTGCAATGACAAATGAAGGTAAGCGCCTTTAGATAGTGTACAATACTCTGCAACGGTCTAATCATATTTTAATGATGTATTTTATGAAAAGCAATTATGTTATAATTATGTCCTTTATTCGAATACTGTATTTACCTTTCTTTGATTACACACACACCCACACACACCTCTTATACACATCTAGATGTGTATAAGAGACAGGTGTACGGCGTCCATATGAAACAACAACTAAGTTCTCATTTTATTCGTTAGCGATTCTAGGTTTTATTTAAATTGTCTTGAGCTTTAACATAGCATCACTTTGATACATTACCATTATTTTGTATTGTTAGGGATACAGGAAGCATTTTTACGGATGTCATTGACATTAATTTCGTTGTGTGAGACTTCACCACATTGTGGTCTTACGATTAAACCGTATGACGATCGCCGACGATCTGAAGACATCCCAGCACTTCCCGCAAACCTTCGTTTGGCTTTGGAGAAGAAAGCACAAGAAGCTATTGCAGAGCAGGACTATGAATCCGAAAAGAACTCTTGTTGTAAGACTTCTTGAAAAAGGCCAAAACCTATATGGATTGTCGTCAGGGAATGTGAGCTCGATACTATGCTATAGTAACATAATTTGCTTTACGATCTTCATCGGTTTACAGTACGTTCACACAATTATCCTGTTGATTATCACGGAAACTAGAGTGCGCGATGGCATGGCAACAGATTTTTTTTTCTCAGTTTTTTTACCTCAATTCTTCTCTTCCTTTTTCCTATCGTAAGTGTTTTTTTTTTGGTTTTATATTTGTTTTTTTGTTTTTTTTTTAAATTTTTTTTTTTAATAAGGCCAGATCAGAGCCAGAAGCTAACTGAAGGTGATCGATCAGGTTTTGTATTCGATTGGGCCGTTGAACCCGGATTTAGATAATGTCAGGTCACAACCATGAGGTGTAGGCTTCAATACCTTATCCAAACCTCTGCCCAGACGATGATACGCAAAACACCTTAGGTGGAATTGTGGATGCAATGAGCCCGCATAAAGTTGTTCCAACAGTTACTATATTTCACCATGGATGCAACATCAGATTTCAACAAGTCGTAACTGCTTGGTTGTAGAATCATTTTTACAATAAATTACTTAATGAAAATCAAGTAATTTGGCTGCCAAAGTCTTATTGACACTTGAGAAAGAAGGCACTTGTTTTGCAGTTATATACTACAAATCAACAAGCATGTAATAATATGGTTTCGATGGTGTATACGAAAATAATAGAGAAACATTGTACTTTTTCTATTATTATTATTGTTGTTATTAATATTTAAAAAACAAAACGTTTTAATATTAATGAAAACCTGCAGAGAATATTATAATTGCATTGAACAACATAGCATGTTTGAAAGGTTTATGTACCAGCAGGGACGTAGCCAGGATTTTGAAAGGGGAGAGCCGCTATGCGAGGTACGTAGTACTGTGCGGGGGTGGGGTGTTCCCTTCATACGGCTGGGGGACGCCAAGGACCCTGGTGGGGTCCAGGGGGCTAAGCCCCCTCGGAGGTAGCGCACTCTGAACGTTTAATGACTGTTTTGAGAGGATAAAGTGAAAATTGCAATAGACGCATCATAAATGATATTAGTAAGCCTAACAATAACTATAATAATAACTCAATAGTGGCGGATCCAGAGATTCGAAAGAGAGGTGACCCAGAGAGGGACTTTATGATTAGGACACCTCTAGATAGCCGGAAATTACACTCTCAGACTTAAATTTAAATAAAACTTCCTTTTTTTCCATTAAAACAATTTAGGTGTAGGCCTTGAATCCGTCACTACTCAAAACATCTTTATCCAAAGTAGTCATTATCACGAAAAATGAACAATTTTATGCACCCTCCCCTTAACAGTCAAGGGGAGGGTGCATAAATTAAGACATACTCCGAGTCAGGTCCGACTCGATGGAGTTTAAATGTCATAACCAAGGAAGGGGACATATCTGTTTTGGAAGAGGGGGGTGGGGAGACATTTCGTGAGTCCACACCCACCTCAGACCCACCATGGTTGGGGCTAGGGTACGATTTGAGGAAGTAATACATCTAGATGGCCAGAAATTATACACTCTTAGTCAAATTCATCATAATCACATTACCATTACATATAGTAAAAAAAAGCGCCAACACATTTCTCCTGATCTTTTATCAGGGAATTTCGGCAACCATAGAGATCTTATTAATATGTGTGATGTACCATAGAAAATAAAGCTTAAACTATTGTCTTTGATGCATGTACATAATTCAAAGCTGACCTCAGCCCCACAATGGTTGGGGCTGGGGTGAGAAAATTTGAGGAAATAGTACCACTAGCCCGGAAATGACACTTTTATATAGTAAAATTCATCACCATTATATCACCATTATATGCCAACAAATTTCTCATGATCAGGGATTTTCGGCAACCGTCATCTTCATCATCATCATTATTACTACTACTACTACTAGTAGTAGTAGTAGGCTATTATAAAACAAAAATTAAACGCTTGCAAAAGAATAAAAACCAAACTGAACCATACAATATCACATTTCTGTATCTTAAAAGACATGGCCTGGGATTTATGGATTTAAAAAGTTTGATAAATCCGCACCTTGAACGGTAGCAGTTTTATACCCAAAAATTTTAATTTTTGCATTATCGTGTATAGTGAAAAAAATTATTAATCTAATGAGTATTCCACTAGGTTACTATCAGGTTAGCGGGTGAATTTAATTGATAGACGTTTATGGTGGGTTTCTATCAGAGCACGGGTAACAAACCTATAGTAGGAGTCAATTAGAAATTGTACAGCATTTAAATCAACACCAAACTATGTGTATAACGTGTTACATATTTTAAAAGTATTCATTTTAAGTGATCCCAGGAAAGAATTTTTATTTGCTAGCAAGAACAAGCTTTAAAAATCTAATACTGTGTACAAAGGGCGGGGGGGGGGAAAGGTTTGAAGCCGCGGCTCCCACGGCTCCCCCAACCCACCCTGGATACGACCCTCTGTACCAGTACATTATAATATATTTTAACATAAACTCAGCTTGGCCTTAGGAAATGTAAAGCAATTGAGGGCAGTATAATCCCTAATCACGTTTTTGTGTTTTACGACAGTGGAAAAAATGTATGTATTGTGCAGTAAACTTTTTTTTTTAATGTAACGATGTGTTTTATTCTTTTTATCATTTACGAACTCTACACAACATTTAGTAATTTAATAAAATTTTTGATAAGTAGGCCTAATTGTAGGGCTACATTCAGGCTGTCATTGTTGTAAATTTTTAACAGACTGATTGAACCTAAAGTACCATAAATGTGATTTTGTTCGTTTGAGCTGGGTGAATTAGAACGAAATAGTTTTCAATTCGGGAGATACTCGGCTTCGCAGAAGTGAAGTGCGAGAATAGGCAGAGTATAATATAGGGACGTTGGTTGTTATGACTGGCCTCTGCACACCGACAGACTACGTAGCGAGTGTTTAAGTGTATAATATAGGGACGTTGGTTGTTATGACTGGCCTCTGCACACCGACAGACTACGTAGCGAGTGTTTAAGTGTATAATATAGGGACGTTGGTTGTTATAACTGCCCTCTGCACACCGACAGACTACGTAGCGAGTGTTTAAGTGTATAATATAGGGACGTTGGTTGTTATAACTGCCCTCTGCACACCGACAGACTACGTAGCGAGTGTTTAAGTGTATTTTCATTAAATTTAATAAATGTTGAAAGTCTGTAGCTGCATAGGCGGCAAGAACGGGATGTCTATTAAGTGATCCATACATTATTAATTGTCTATTAGTTGCACTGTGTTATAATGTAGGGGTCTTTCAGACAATTTTCTCTACGGACTTTTTCATCTGGTTTCTTACCTCGGAAGATATTTAGTGGTAATAAGCGTATTACCTAATGGTAATAATAATGATGATGAGGACAAAAGCAGTGGTAATGATAGTAAGTAAGTATATTTGAGTTTATGTTATATATTATGCTCTTACAGAATTGTGTAGTTATGGTATGTTATGATTAAACAGGTCTGTCGGTGCCCACCCAAGTTTTACATTGGAGTGATGTTTGGTTATTGAGAACTCAAATTTATCATCTTGAGTAATGGTAACGGTAGGATTGTAGAGCGCCTTCCACAATAAAATCGTCTCAAGGCGCTGACAGTACACAGACCCGAAGTCGGATTGAAAACAATAAAAAATAAAGATGATAGAAATTTAAAAAAATAAAGAATTGAGGTCGCTCTAAAATTTGGGATTTTTTTAAAAGAATGTTGACAAAGCCATTAGTAGCACGAGTAGTTTAGATTCCAAAGAATCGGTTACCTTTTAATAACAAATATATATCTAGGAAACAAACACAAACATCAAATTATACTTTAAACGTTAAAATCATTAAAATAAATTTTATTGCAACATTATTGGATAATATTTATAATATAAATTCAAATACCGGTATTGAAGCCGGTATACCTAAACTAAGGCACGCACCAATTCTTTTTAATCTAAAGTTTACTTGATTGAGTTCACGACTCAAACGAGTCTGGAAACCACTTCCATCGATGCAAGCTCTTGTCATACATCCTCTCGTTGGATGTTTATATTATTTTTCCAAGCTGGTCGGCTAACTTGTCACTATCATTAGGTAGGCTTTTTATGGTTTTCTGATATTGGATCAATTGTCTCAGGATCACATCAAATTTATGAACTGTTCAGTTGAAATGTGATGGATTTTCTAATCTTATCCCAGTATTTGCAATATGTTTATCTATAATTTAATAAGATTATCTCTAAGGTTACCAACACTCAATGTAAATCACAAAGCTTAGGTCTATCATAAAGCTACAGGCAAAAAAAACAAGTAAATTAAAATATGATATTTTAGTTCAATCGTATTTTATACGATGTATTTTTATTATTTTTTATTTCAAAAATATTTATACAGGATTAAAAACATATCAGATGGTTGTTATTAGGCTATTTTTAATATGGTCCTGTTTAAACCTATACTAGGAAGATAAAGCAAAAAGGGATTATTAGATGGTAAAAACGCGCGGCCATTATTTTATATGTATAAACCGTTCAACATATTGTATACTAAGAAAATTGGAAAGATCAACAGTGATAAAATAAGAATGATGAAAAAGTGCACACGCACATTATAAATGCATGTACGTAGAAATACATATACGTATTTTACATCGCATACAGTTAAGAAAAAAAAAACATTTACAGAAACACGTATCCATTGTAATTGCATTGGTCAAACTCATTATACATATACATGTATAGCTTAAACTATAAAAATGAGGATTATAAGTTTAACTTTGATAAGACAATAAGAAATTTAGCCCTAATTTCCTTTTGTATCCAACATCTATAAATTTCTAAAATCGCACCAAACGTACAGTTTAAAACCTAAAATCGAATATTTAGTTTTAAAAAAAATATTGTGTATAATTAGGTTAATTACACCATTTGATTAAGAACATAGGCCTACATTGTCTATACCCGATCGCTTTAATTAGCCATATCCGCACAAAAACAGGTCACTTTTGGGATGTTGTATACGAAAGAAAATAAGCACCGCCACTGGTATACACTCACCTATTAAAAGCCAATCTCCAAAAGAATATCTACTAGATGATTGTCTTCAAATTCAAAATTAACTTTTGCACCTTATAGTAAAGTGAAGCTCCCGGTACTTCTCATGGCAAAGTCGCAAACATACTCCTATTTTAGCTCGGCAGTCATTCATATGACCAAACTGACCCATTGGTCAGTCCTTGTTACCAGGCAAGAATACGATATGTTATCATACTAACGAGTACCATTATTGGTCAGTTCTCACAGATTGATATTTTATACTTGGCATTTATTGGATAGAATATAAGTTTGTTAATAAAAACAAAGCATGTTTGCTTTACAACTTACTTAACATAAACGATGTGGAGAGTGATAAGGTTGAGATAGCCTTCAAGGCAATGCTCAACATGGATATCAAGATGTAGCGGATTAGAGGGTCTAAGCCAAAGGGCATTCAAATCTCTTATTTCGACATTGTTTGCACTTAGCAATCATAACTATACCTTCATCGTAGCATTTAGGAATAATCATTATAATCATCATAATGAACTGAAAAATATAAATATTCAGTGTACAAGAGGAGAACAATACTGATGATAATTACAGACACAAATGTCTTATTTTCTAATTACAATCATCTGTAGTTAATATGGAGGTGGGGGATTGGCAGTAGGATATCCCGGGTGTGTAGGAGGTGGATACTGGATTCCGTCAGGTGGAATTGGGTATCCACTTTTCATTGGATAAGAGTCAGGTGGCTGATAGCTAGGGGGGCCTGGCTGATAGTCACCGGCACCAGGCGTAGGTGGTTCATAACCGTAGCTCTGATTGTAGTGGGGGTGTGGTTGATACTGTGGCTCCGGTACTTCTGGGGTTGTTGCTCCATAATTAGGCGTAGAGCTACTATGATAGCGTGCATAGTTATCGTGGCAGATTTCTAGATTCTTCTGGTCAACCAGCATCTTCATCCTACACAGGTCCACCAGCCATCCAACGCCGAACCCCCCAACCGTGAATAAGTACAACATCCCCCATCCATACCTTTTTAGGTAGAAATGATGAAAGCCTAACACACCGAATGGGTTAAACGCAATGACATACACATCATCGAGTTTATAACATTTGTCAGCATGGCCGCCATCTTCACACATCTTCATATTGACTCGTTTCACGAGGAGTGGCATTCTAATGTTGTCGAATACCCAACCAAGACCACACAGTCCCACGGTACACGTATACAGCACACCCCAACCAATGCGTCCAAGGTAATAATGGTGGAAACCTGTTAAAAATAACAGTAAATACCTTCATTGTAAAATTGTTTATACTTATAAGAACACAACGCTGAAGAACACTTGGTTAAAACCGGTGTCACTGAGATTCCAGCCCCCCCCCCCCAGTTAATAGTCCCCATTTTTAAGATACGTTCATGAGGGATCTGTATTTTCCTGACTGAAATGAGAGGCCGAATTCACTGCCTGGGGAAACTTATGGATTAAAACTAAGGGAAAGCGGAGAATTTACGGAGTTTAAAAAATCATCTTACATCGGATAACACACTTGTCATCCAAATGATATATATTTGTGCCTCAGTTTGTTCTTAGCTTGTTCTTACATTTTAATCAATTTCAGTCTCGGTGTTCTTAGAAAATGTGTTCTTATAAACAATCTGTTTTACTATATTATTAATATTGTTATCAATATTATTATCATTATCATTATCACCACCATCACTATCATTATCATCGTCATCACTATCATCATTATTTATTATTGTTATTAATGATAGGCTATTAGACCTCAGTGTATAAACACAATGAAACAGAACTCACCAAGTAAACCTGTGATCGGAAAAAAAGAAATGATCCAAGTGTCGCCCAGGTCTCGGGATTTGTCTACAGGAAAATCAGGGTTCATAAGCTTGTGGTTAGCACGTTTTACTAGATACGGCATCCGGAACAGATCGAGCAACCAGCCTAGACCACACAGACCAAAAGTGAATAAGTACAGAAAGCCCCATCCTGTGCGTTTCAGGTAGAAGTGATGAGCTCCGAAGAAACCTAACGGTAACAATAAAATATAAGCATCAAGTAAAGACTTAGTCCTCGTTAGGACTGATTCGTGCGTGACAGTAACCGTACTGCTTTCGGTTGTTTGGAAGTCATCGTGAGCATTCGAGTTTGCCTCGGCGTCCTTAGACGAGGACATCATAATTCGTTGTGAGTCAAAATTCCAAAAGTATCTGTAATAACAGTAGCTCGCGAAAATAATCTGACTTTATAACTATTCGTCCGTTGGCAACAACCAGCAAACAGCATGGAAATTTAGGCTTACATCTATGCCAATAATTTCCAGTCATCAAGAAACATAATGATTTTGCCCATTGAGTTATGAACAACTAGTGATAATCCATTCATACCTCAATAGTGTAAACATTTTCGATCATAACTCTAAAAAAGGTACTCATGAAAGAACTTTGTTTATATAGCTTACACTCGTGATGCGATACGCTTACAATTATGACGTCATACTCACGTGGAATGACAGCTTTATTATAAGAGATAATAATGTTATATAGATATAAACTGTGTAATTGTTTCTGTATCTACAATATTTACTCTGAATATTAGCCATAGATCAAGTCTAATATTGCAACACATATTGTAATATATAGAGAAATCGATCTACATTAACTCACACTCTCATCCAGTAACGTATTTTGGAGCTAATGGGTGGGGTGGGGTGAAGATCTGAATGGCTTGCAGTACTCGATGTTGGGCGTTAACTGGCAAAAAAGGTAAAGGTCGTTTTTAACTACTTGAGTATAAGAAACGCAACCGCTTTCATCAAACCGGTTAAAAAATTCAAAAGTATCATTCATATCTTTAAAATTGTTATCGAGTGGTTTTTATATTTTGTTTTAGTTCGTACATGGAAGTATAATACAGGCCTATATGTTAATTTGGTGGACAGACCTCTTCCTATTCTAATAAGTTACCCCTTTTCAATGTAGGCCTTAATATTCCATGTTAGACTAATTAGACTTAGTTGGCGATTTTTTTTTCTTTTGAATTATTTACCCTACACGTTATTCTATTACAGATGGCTTATTAACTAGAAAGATAATTGAGTTAGAGCACAAAGTTTGTTATCCACCTTGGTTAACACCTACTTATGAAATTCACAAGGACTACATGAGACAGGAATTGTGTGAATTGAATTCTAAATGGCTGGCTGTTCTGAATAGCGCGACACCAGTAATAAACATTGCGAAGATTATATTATTAATTGTTTGTTAGGATGTTTGTTTTGCGATTTTCCGTAAGAGGCTTTTGTATGATTTATGGCGGTACTTGAAAACGAATGGTCTTATGACTTCTCGTCACTGATAAGAGTATAAGCCTATTATTTTTTAAAGATACCGCCCTCTATTTGTACAGACACGCTAACAAATATACATTAGGGGGCTATTTCATTGCTCAATTTCATAGTACTACCACAATAATTATATATATTGTATTTATTTCATAAATACATACAGTTTTTACATTAATATGTAAAGCACTCATCACATCATTCTTAACAAATCAAATGCCTCAATGATGAGGAATGTTTATATAGATGGATAGACATAGGGTAGAGGGTGGGGTGGGGGATGGATGGGTTCGGGGAATTGAGGTAGTGAAGAGCAAGTTACTGCTAGTTCGAGCTATGCTCTTTTATGGCTTAAAATAAAACTATTTCAATATCATGTGCACTTTGGGGAACCAAGGATATCCTTCAAGGAGAGCCAGGAATTATGCGGTGTTCCGATGTAGCACCTGTTTTGGACTACCGATAGGGCCATTTAGAGTGTAGACATTTGAAGAAATTAGTTTGGGCGCATAGGCATAGAGACCATATAGGCTATATATGTCAAACAACTTTAACCTAAAGATCAAGATTATTCGACACCGTTGACTGCAGGATTAAAGCCTCTTCATCATATTTCCCTCAAATTTACACTTCGTTAATTCCTTTTATAATGCACCTAATAATTGTCATTGGTGGGTTAGTAGTTACGTGATATTGAGGATTTACACCAAATTTTAATGGCAAAATATTCTATTTTGCGTAACACTTCTTGTAAATTTATTACAATTTCTACACATTTTTGTTCCATTTATTTTGTTCCATTCCAAAGATCAAATGTTTCTCGTACTAATACTTTTAAGTTTGCTGTATTTAATTCCTTTCTTAGTACATGGGATGGTTTACCCATGGGGTCAGAGACATGCTTTTATTTGGAATTGGGCGTTCCTTAAATAAATTTCAAGAGCAGTCTTGGCATGTTCGGTTATAATAATAATAATAATAATAATAATAATAATAATAATAATAATAATAATAATAATAATAATAATAATAATAATAATTATTATTATTATTATTATTATTATTAGTGCACTTTTCTTGAGATATATTAAATTTTTTTTTTATCAATAATACTATTACCATTATTAATATTACAATCATTAATGCATAGTATATTTATGTGGTTTCAAATCTTAATGTATATATATATCAGATTATTTTCTGGTAACTCTCGTGTATATTTTCTTACTCATTTTAGTTTCTTCTTGATGTTTGTTTATTGTTCTGAACAGACGTCCAGTTTCGCCAATGTAAAAATTACTGTGCACTTGCGGCACGTAATGTCATATTCTAGGTTTGTTTAAGCCAATTTTTTCCTCTGGATGCACTAAAAGATTTCTAAATTGTGTATGTGCCGTTGCCGTGTATATTTTCGGTAATATACAATATGTAAGGGGTAAGTGGCAAGTTATGTTGTTTTTCAGATATTAATAAGCAAAATGTATAATTTCAAAAGCTTTAAATTGTGTTTTGATTTTATTATTGTATTCAAATCGAAATGAAATGTCTGTTAGGGTATCACAGAATTTGTTTTGTAAATAATGATTTTACGCTCAAATGTCGGTTATGCCCTTTTGCCATGATTTTTCTGATTGCAAACATGTTGACAAACTTTGACAATATGATATTATTGCACAATTCAAAATGTCAATTTACTATTATATTTGTTTTAGTTTATTTAAATTCATACGTATTTGGTGACATAGTCGTAAGGAAAAACATTTTGCAAATGAAGCAAAACATTCGAACAATTAAATTAACAATGACATTACTACCCTGTCTTCCAAAATCTGATATGATGTCTAACCTCACTTTCCACATTTAGGACTAATTAGCAGAATAGGCCCCTATCACTTATTACGTAAACTATCATAGTATGAAATATATAATGGAATTAACTGAGACTGACAAAATCATTTTATATTAAATTGTCCCGTTGTATGTAGGCTATGTGTTCAAAAGGCTTTGTGGTTTTCTAATCTCAATTTGTGATTATTTTATGCTCTTATGCTCAAACAACAGAGATAAAAATACAAAGAAACTAAAGAAAATTACAAACTTACATTGAACTGTCTGTATACTATTAAGCTTCAACGAGGATAAACTATCATAAAAATAATATATTTCATTTCAACAACTTAATTGTTAAATGTAACTGCTAATCTTTGAAATAAACCACTCTTTGTTACGTAAACTCGGCGAAATGAAACATGAATTAAATTCTTAGTACAAGTACGACTACGAATGTTCAATGTAAACAAGATACAAGATTTCAATCAAATTATATAATTTAAACAACATATCAAAAACAAGTCTACGTTTACTTAGTGAATCAATATTTGCAGTAATTACAAAGCTTCTTGGGTCCACTCTTATGAATAGAGGTAACACTGGCGACTTTACGACGAAGGAAATACGTCTACTGACATCTAAAAAATACGTGTGAATGGATATGATAATGGAACTGGTGCGTTCCCAGAGTAGGGTAACGCCTATGGGCTCTCGGGGGGGGGGGTCCAAAGGAGCCCCGGAGGGTCTTTCGCTACTAATGCACAGCACTTGTCTAGCACAGCCATGACATCACGGTGCATAAAAGGTACTCAAAACTAGCAAGTAATTCCCATACAAAATGTATCTACCTATGCCACTGTGCGCTCCTAAGTATAAAATGACTTATTTCATAATTTCCAGTTGACTTTCTGACATTGGTATTCTCAATTAAAATCGTAACTGTGGTTTGATTAATTAAAACTGTGGACATGTTTCCAATATTATAGTCCGAAAGGGGCGAGCACGTGGCACTTGTAGAACACCAGCATTGAAAGAGAAATGAAAAGGCGCATTAAGCGAAGAAGTTCATCAAAATCAGAGTGAATTGTATTATCATTATATTACATTACAAAATGATATATATATATATATATATGATTAATTTGATTTAAAAAACTTATGTAATTTCAGAAAAGTTTCTTTAAAATATTAACCATCAATTAAAGAGGAATGGTCAGAAATAAGAATATAATTAGCGGTATCAACCTTGTCAGACAAATCTTTGTTACTTATAACCAAATCAAGAATATTGTTATTACGAGTTAAATATGGATTACGGTACATTGCATTAGGACACAACTGTCCAGGATATCAATATGGTGCGCGGCGCATCCATTGCATTTTAAGTGGAGCAGGGGTCCGCAGACGAATTAATTCCAGGCAGGTTAAAATCATCTGAAATTATTATATAAAAATTATGTGTACTATAGTATAATTATATTCCATTAGCTAGGCCTAATTGTAAGATATACCTAACAAAATTGAGTATCACCCACAAGATAGAATTTTTAAGATTAATAATAATAATAATAATAATAATAATAATAATAATAATAATAATAATAGACCTATAGGCCTATTAATCAATTTGAAGGTCCAATGACCATGCATGATCGCAAAGCCAGAGGGCTGTGGTCACTCCATCTTTAAAATGGTAATGCAGTGTGAAATGGTGCAATAAAGGCCTAGTAATGGGACGGATAATACGCATTGTTGGGCCGGCCGTGAACTCCTAAGTCAGGACGGGGCACCTCAGAGCTTGTGTTAGCATGAGGTGTCCGGCTATCATCAACATTGTCGTTACTTATGTCAACCAGTAACTTCAGTCGAAACAGGTCCACCAGCCATCCTACACCGAACATTCCAGCAGTGAATATGTACAATTTCCCCCATTTATTCCTCTTCAGGTAGAAATGATGAAAGCCGAATACACCGACTGGGTTAAACGCAAGGATATATGCATCATCGAGTGTATAACTTTCATCATCATTATTGGCTCGTTTCACGAGAAGTGGCATTCTGATGTTGTCGAAAATCCAACCAAGACCAAACAGTCCCACGGTACACGTATACAGCACACCCCAACCATAACGTTCAAGGTAGTAATGGTGGAAACCTTTTGAAATTAAACAATAAATCTTTTATTCTAAAAAAATATTTTGGTTTGACTGGATAAAACACATTTAGTTTGTCAAAATGCTTTTTTTCATGTGTGTAATTTTTTTTAATGGCTAAATGAAAATTAAATGCAGAAAATCAAAATACAAATACCGGTAGTTTGAATTACAGAAAATCAAAATACAAATAGTTCGAATTACCAAAAAAAAAAAAAAAAAAAAAAAAAAAAAAAAAAATCAAACTAAAAAATGTTGAGAAATACATTATTCATTATAATTCATTATAATAAATAATAATAATAATAGCAATAACAGTAGCAATAGCAATAACATTAATAATGATAATAATAATATAATAATATTATTAATGATAATAATAATAATTACAATAACAATTACAATAACAATTACAATAAAACAACAAAACAATAATAATAACTTTTTTCTTTTATTTATTTACTAATATCTTTAGCCAGGATGACACAATCATTTTAAAGAAATGTTTTTCGTTGTGGTCCTGGAAAAAAATAAAAAAATAAAAATAAAAAAAATAAATAAAAAAATAAATAAAGAAATAAAATAATAATAATAATAATAATAATAATATTAATAATGATAATAACAATCATAATAACAATAATAATAAACAACAAAAAAATAAACAAAACACAAAAGAACACACCCAGAGTCAGGCATTAATAATCATAATCATCAGTGCAATTTTTTTTTCTTTCCCTTTTCATTCTTTTTTTCCCCTCCATTTCCTCCTCAGAAATCACGAAAATGGCATCCATTGACTCACTAAATACGTGTCAAAGCACTTAGAAATATCTAAAAAACATGCTCCAATCATCTCGGAGTCATCCATGCATTCAAGCCATTCATCAACGACTCTGTGTAAACATGTAACTGTAAAGTGATTCTTAAGAAACGCAAATTGATCAATATTGATTAAATCATAATCAATAAGATAGGAAGTCAATTGAGCTTGCACCTCTTTCTCAACAATTTTAAATAAATTCGTTTTATGAATTAGTTTACCTTATCATTCTTACGGCAATATAACATGGGGGGTTACAATAAACAAATTTGAAACATTATGTCGATGGACAAGTTCCGAAAGCACAAACTTGATCATTTCTTTCGTCTTCAAAACGCGCTCATTTGCAGTGATGTTTCCTACAGAGCTCACACCATTAAGAACATATTCCATAATACTACGCTATACGACTTAAATAAACTGCAAACTGCCAACTTTATGTTTCGATTGTCCAGCGGCTGTGGGTGGGGGGGGGGACTTCCACAGTCAGGGGAAAAACAGCAATTCGTCGGGGGAAAACATTTTTTTTGTATTTTCTATACATAGGCCTATTAGTAGACTCTAAAATCGATTAAATAAGCCTTTGAAACCCTTAAATTGCCACTTTGCTCTCGTCGGAGATATCGCCCCTCCCGTCGGGGACCTCGGACCCCAATTCGGGCAAATCCTGTCGCAACCACCGCTTCAGATTTTACCATTCTATTCAAATTTATTTCGGTTTAAAATTACATACATCAAAAAATTACATACATCAAAATTACAAGAACAATAAAAACAAAGAGTGCTGCCAACCAAGGATGACCAAAAGTACACAAACGTGCCACGGTCATGTGGCTCTCCGAGGCAGCACAATTTGGAGCCACCGGTTAGGCCCGGAGACCAGGGCCCCGCTTGGGAAAGCTGACCCACCTTCCTGTCGGGGAGAAAAGAAAATTTGTCGGGTAAACTAAAATGTATATGTAATTTTAACATAATGTGAGATTCCATTCAGTTAAAATAAGCTTTTTAAATCCCTATACCAAAATGTCCAGAGGCTAGGCCCAGGGACCCAATCGAGGTGTTCTGTGCTGCCCTGGCCCCGTCTTTATAGGCCTATGTTACCGTCGGAAACATCCCCCTCTGGGACATCGGACCTCTGTTTGGCACATCCTGGTGGCACAACTGGATTTTAATGCAGTGGATTAAACATGTTGTATTATGGGTATTTTTAGAAACTATATGTACTGTATATGCTTCTTTTGGGAAATCCCAGAATCTTATAGTCATGAGGTAGACATATTTTAGGAGCCTCACTAACGAATACCTCCCTGTGCAAATGAGTTTCTTTATATTCTCGATAAATGATTTATTCCTTGTTTAATTTTATCTAAATAACACAATTATGGTACTAACGTTTAAAGTATTGAATGCTATCTGATCTTCGGACGCGACGCCACAACGACATCGATGGACTAAAATATTTGAACAGGTCAGACAATAAACTTTCCCCAAATGATAGTAACATAAGTTTCTTGCTACAGGGCGGCGTAGCTACAGCAGGTATGACAAATTATTCACTGGGCCCTTTTGTCGGATGATCAGGGACAACAGTAGTTGTCCGCATGTTATATGATTTATGTTATCTCTTTTGTATAAAATATATATATATATATATATATATGAAACCCACACAACGTCAACTCAGGAATGTATTATTTCTGTTATAATTATGTCAGTTAAAGATATAAAAATAAAATAAATAAATAATATAAATAAAAAGAATAAAAATACATTAGAAGAGGTGACTAATATTTACTCTCTGGACTTATGAGGGAATCAAACAGGCAGTGAATGTCATATATGAGCAAACATAATAGCAAAAATAATAGGCCTAATTAGTTTTACGATCGCCCAATATTATCTCATTGTTGAGTTTACTGACACAGTGGGAAGTGCTTAACATAATACCAAGCAAATGTACATATAGTACTACCCCTAGATGGTTGCAGTATAGAATTATACTTAATATTTTACCAACGAGAAATTACCTCTTTAGATTTTTTTTTTTTTTTTTTTTTTTTGAATTGTAAAGATTATAAAATATGTAGAGATTTGGATACCTGGAAAAATAAAAACCTTCACTTAAATTACAATTTTCAAAGCAAAACATACTGGGTATAAATTAAAAAAAAAATAACTCAAATAATATTAATCTCTCCCCTCAACCTTTGATATATTGTTTTCGTTTTGGTCGTCACTACATACTATTCCTCAAAGCTTTAAATAAATGTGATAAAAAAAAATCAACTCACGGCCATTGTACAAACTTCTTAAGATCACTACCGGTATTGAAAATAAAAATTGATTTACAAATACAATGTAGGCCTAATTGTATTACCGTACTCGCGCGAATAAGCGATCCGTTTGAATAAGCGCCCCTCTCGAATGAGTGCCCCTCCTAACTTGAAAATTTCCTTAAGCGCCCCGTTTGAATAAGCGCCCCTTCTAATTTGAATAAAGGCCCCCTCAATAATTCAATCAATCCTGGACTGTGATGTTGGCATGATTTGAGGTGTGGAGTGGAATCACATTCTCCTTTAGTCAATATAAAAAATATGAGGATATTTATCTTGGACAGATGAGAGCTCCCCGGACAGACAGTACATTTCCAACTCTCATCTTCTTACATTTTTCTAGAGCCTTGTCTTACTGCTTTTCCGACAATTTTTTTTTTAGAACAATATTGGAAATTGATTTACAAATACAATGTCTCTGCAGCTATGATTTATGTATAATAACCTGTTTACATATAAGAAGCGGTAGGCCTATAAAAAGTATTAGTTTATAAAATATATTCTATTTAAATGATTTGAAAAGAAAGGCACTTGTACAATTGTTCTTTTATTTTTTCCTCTTTTATATTATTTTCTATTCATTATCAATGCTGTTTTTTGAATGATGAAATAAATGTTTAAAAATGCGTTTTAGATAAAATATATTTTCCACTATTGACTATTCTATTTGTCTAATCACAATGAAAGAGAGCTTACCAAGTAAACCTGTAATTGGACATAAGGCGGTGATCCAAGCGTCGCCTAGGTCATATAAATCTGACTGCGATTCTTGCTGCGTATCATCGTTAACAAGTTTAGAACGCTTTACTAAGTTACGCATCCGGTAGAGGTCGAAGAACCAGCCTAAACCACACAAACCTAATGTGCATAGGTACAGATAACCCCATCTTGTGCGTTTCAGGTAAAAGTGATGAGCACCGAAGAACCCCAATGGGAACATTAAGATATATGCATCTAATAGTACAGCATGGAACTTTTTCAAGTCTGAATTATTAGAAGCCATTTTTCTTTTTGTCGTTCTTCGACCAAAAATGATAGGCCTATGTCTATAAGCATTTCGGAATTTCCAACCTAATAATTCGTCTATATTTAGTTTAATTGTTAAACGCTAAACGGAAGACATGACAACATTTCTATGCCAAAGCCAAATGACGCTCATAATAAATATTTTCACGTGCAAATTCTTTTTCATATTGAGTCTTGGCCAACCTCCAGTAAGAACGATGGGGTTTTCCGCTTTTACACCAGTCTCGGCGTGAGGTAATTAAAGCATGCACCAGTCTGACTGTTGTTCTTCTATCAAGGGATTTATTTATGCTGGTTTTTTTTATGATTCCTGAATATGAAGCTCTACAGATGTTTTGATGAATCAATTACAGAATCCAAGTTCCTGAGTTTTGAGAATTTGGAAACAAAATGGATTATCTCCATCTTTGACTAGTTCAGATATCTTTATTTATTTTATTTTTACCCAGTCATCAGCATGCTGACTGGGTTCTGTTTCCTAGCAGTTTCTTTCTTTCTGGCAACATTTTAAAAGGCTACTAGTGGCAAACTACTGGACCGATTTTATTAAAACTTGGTCAGTAGAACCGGTGCCACCTCCCATTTATGTGTTGTTCACAACTTGAGGTCAAAGGTCACATAAGGGGAATTAGGGTCAAAAAAACCAAAAACCGTATAAAAGACTACTTGTCTCACAAATAACGTAGCACAGTCTTGTCCTTTGCACATATACATTGGCATAAGGCAGAGTCTATAGGGTGTTCAGGGATAAGGGGTCAAAGGTCATTAAGGGGTAATTTTCCTCTTTATTCTGGCAACATTTCAAAACGCTATTAGTGCCAAGCGGTTGTGCCGATTTCAACCAAACCTGGTCAGTATAATCGGTGACACCTCTCATACATGGGGTGTTCACTGCTTGGGGTCAAAGGTCACATAGGGGTCATTAGGGTAAAAAACTTTCAAAAAAATAAATAAAAGACTTCTGTCACAAATAACATAGCACAGTCTTGTCCTGGGCACATATGTATTGGCATAAGGTAGGGACGTTATGGTGTTCAGCGATTTACGGTCAAAGGTCATTAAAGGGTTATTCTTTTGTTCTCAATAGTAACATTTAAAAATGCTACTAATGGCAAACCATTGGAATAAATTCAATCAAATTTCGTCATTAAGAACCGGTGATACCTCCTACACCCCAGTCTGGGATCAGGGGTCACATAGGGTTCATCGGGGTTAAATTTTCAAAATAGCCCAATTGAGCTCAAATTTACCAGGAATGATCCTTAGGACCTTCTAAACACGAAAAAAATACTCTTCACCCCATATGTCAAAGCTCATAGGTCAAAGGTTCAAAATGTTACTAATGGCAAACGAATAAACCAAATTCAATCAAAGTTGATCATTAAGAACCAGTGACACCTCCTACACCCCTGTCTGTCATCAGTGGTTACGTAGGGGGTCATCGGGGTTAAATTTTCAAAATAGCCCAACTGAGCTCGAATTTACCAAGAATGATCATTAGGGCCTTCTAAATATGAAAAACTACTCTTCATCTATAGGTAAAAATTCACAAGGGTCACTATAGTGAAAATTATCAAATATTGCTAGTGACTAACGATTGGACCAGTTGCATTAGAACATGGGGTGTTCCCAGGTTGAGGTTAAAGGTCACAGTGGTTATCTCTTAAAAAATGACTGGGTTCATGTTCTATTGAACATAGTATCTCTAGTTATTTTTATATTTATTATCCCGTCCAACAGCAAATACAAAATTTGCTACTTACTAGTGGAAACACAAACAACAAACGGATACATAAATATTGTAAACGTGTGGAATAAAAACAGAAGAATATAACTAATAACAATAATAGTACTAATAATAACAGTATAGTACTAATAATAATAATATTATTATTAATAATAATAATAATAGATTTTAACTAATTATCTTAGTTTTAACTGTGATATCTCTATTTAAAACGAAGATATCTCTAATTGAAACTAAGATATATTTGTTAATGGACTAATCTACAATTTATTGTTGCAAACATGCTTTTCGGTGGGCCCTGTCTATCTGGAGGGGCCTATTATACAAGTTATTTTATATTCATGAAGCTACTATATGACTTCATATTTGCTGTAACTGGGTCCCCTTGGATTCGCCACTGGGTACATTAGCAGATGGAGGATCTATACCACCTTAGCCCCCACCCCTCCCATGGTTGGGGCTGAGGTAAGAAAATTTGTGATAATGGCACTTCAGATAGCGGGAAATTACACTCTCAGACTTAAAATTTGAACAAAATTTTCCTTATATATTTCCAATTTNNNCCCGCCCTTGAATGCGCCACAGATTTCCGAACAAAGTCGAAGTCGAGATTGCTTCCACGATCTCAATGAATTATTTATCATGAGGGGTATCCTTGATATAGGTTCCCAGACAAAAAATTCAAATTATCCTTCTATGTCGACCTAGCCAGGAAATGATAGTTCAACTGTGGCGGATCCAGGAAGTCGAAACAGAGGGGACCCAGGGAGGATTTTTTGCGCAGATTATGGCACCTCCAGATGGTCGGAAATGGCACTCTCAGATTAAAAGTTAATAAAATTTTGTATGTTTTATCCATTTCTTTTTTTATAATTTTGAAAAAAAAATAGGAGGTTGGGGGGCCCGTGCTGACTGGGTTCCCCTTGAGTCTGCCACTGTTCAATATAAAACTTGACATCGCCTTTCATTTTGTATCACATTTGATTAATTCCTAACGTCAATTGAAATTTTTTTTTATTCGAAAGATTTTTTCTACTCAATACAGTTTTTACAACCTATAACGCATTAACTACAGTGTACTGTAAATTCTGTAGTTAGCCTTCAGAGAACTTTATTTTAAAAAACGGCCTAATTATTTTATTGTTTTCGTTAGATTAGATGGTGTTTAAATGTGGTTATATTCCGCTAGTCTGAAGGTTTACTGTAAGCCAATCAGTTACACTTACTATACATCTTCGTGGTTAGCATAAAGAGAACTAGAGCGTCGCTCCATTAAGAGTGCATTCATCCCCATTTTCATGATTGAGGGTGGATTTCAAGGAAACTTTACAGACTCGCTATACAGACATCAATTAACATTTGGTTGCTCAACTCAAAAAGGGAACTTGTAATGGTCGTTAGAAAAAGAAAAAAAAAACTATATTTTATAATGATAATAAAAGGTCAATTTATAAGACGCAAATAAACAAGGTGTCTAAGCACCAAATAATAATAATAATAATAATAATAATAATAATAATAATAATAATAATAATAATAATAATAATAATAATAATAATAATAATAATAATAATGACATTGCAGCGTACGTAAAATGTTTGTCACTGGTGCTGGGGAAGACCCCCAGCTTCCGCCGCTGTTGCCAGCACCCCTCTCGTTGGCACTGTCCTACCTACTAATCAGCTCATCAAATGGAAGCAGTGGCGTGGCTACGGATAGTGCAAAGGACTGTGGGCCCCTATTAGGGGGCCCATTCATATTTCAATAATATTCAAATTTAAGTCTGTGAGTACCATTTCCGGCCATTACACTGGTGCCATAATCATACATTTTCTTACCGCACCCCAACCATGGTGTAATAATAATTACTCAGTCGTTCATCATGAATGCAACAACTTTATTCAGCCAGAAAGCAGCATACATAGTGTACAACATCATTGCATCTTTCTCTTTCTTGATTATTTTAATGGTTCATTTCTTACTATCTTATCTATAGACTATCACAGATATCATACAATGATTCATATAGTGATTATTGTCACACTTGTCATAGTGATTGTCATACCTTGTACTTCTAACTTCTGGATCATCGCCACTGCAACTGTTAATTTTTTTTTGCCACCATGATTAGATTCAAGGGGGACCGAGCCGGCCTGCATTATTTTTCCCATACAGTTAATAAAGGGCGCTATTGTAGGTTAGTTAGGTGAACTGAACATCAATATGCATGCCTCACCTCCTCTCGCGAAAGCGGTGTTGTGGTGTATCGAGTAAGTGCTTATGCGTAAGAAAGCTCGGTGTAGGCTAAAATGTAGCCAAGACAGTGTGAAAAATAATTAACAGGCCCTATGGTTCAGAACCCCTATTCTAGCAACCCCTCCTCTTTTCTGGCGAATCCCCACCCTCAAATTTCCCAAAACAAGTAATCAAACCCGATCAGTGCACTGCAGACCCACCAAGACTCGGACATTTTTAAACATATCTACTTTTATAGCATTACTTAGATCCATAAAAAAAAGCACAAAAATCCTCAGGCTTTGGCGTTTTCACCGACCCACCGGGACTTTGACCCTGGACCCACGCCCAGAGAACCTGCCACCCCCCCCCCCCCTTGAAAGAATCTGGCTACGGGCCTATTGACTACTGTATCCCTATTATTACTAGGCAAAATTTATGTACAGCATGGTCTTTGAAAGTATATTATTGAATCTGGCAATTTGTTAAGTACAAGTACGCCGTATATTTCAAGTTTCAAAGTCAGCATTCATGTTTATCAGTTCACGTAATTGACCTTAATTAGCGTCCTGTATAATTTCTGCCTAAAAGTAATGCCGCCGACCCACATAAAAAAAAAGAGAGAGAGAAAAGGAATATTTTAATCAAATGTAGGTGTCGTAATCATAAAATTGTCTTATCTCTGCTCTCACAATCTTTTAAAGTCCCTGGGCTCTCTCTATTTCAAATGGACCACCACAAAAAACGAAACATCTGATAACGTGAATCAGTATACCTAATCCTAAAATTTTCATTCTTTAAAATTCAAAACACAGCTTCACAATTTAAAACGTTACAGTTATAGGAGGATCCCGGGGGATCCCAGCCCCTCCCTCCATCTCCACCACTAGCCATAACTCAAGCCTACATACACGACGGTTTGTTTGACAATAAGAAACGTAATCAGTCATGTCAAATAATTGAAATGTATTTTCTTATATTTTATTTTGTCGTATGCTCTCCTATGGAAGGTTAATAAAATCTATTTGATTTATAACGCCCTCTTATGAGCCA